TTAAGGTATCAAGGTATCAAGGTATATTAAAAGTTTGTGTCATGTTATTATGTGCTATTTTATTGAATTCTTTCGGTGTGTTAAAGTTTACCATATTTTTCCATTATTTCTGTTGTGTTTGGCCAATAAACTTCCTTTTTATGCTAACTTTCAATATGACGAAAAGGCCATGATGGAGAAGACATTTCCAGCTAGTAAGGAAACTTTTCTGATTAAGATTATCTGAGATATTCAAGCCGATTAATAAAGCAAGGGATACCCGTTCCTCCTATCTATTATCATAGTCCCCCATGTTGCTCTACCCAGATCTGAGGGAAGGAATGTCAACCCTCATCACAAAAAAAAATTTCATTTTGGCGCACCTATGGGTGTTAAAAATCTATGGAAAACGTCTTAAAATGTATACTTACTCAATCGTTGTCAGCCTCGTGTCAGCCGATCATTTAAACGAAGCCTAGGTTATACCTGACAAAGAGGGCAAAGCTACTGTATGCTGACTGGTCGATAAAGAGCCGGGTCTTTTTTTCGTAATGTTGTTTCTGAAGAGGTCAAAATTACTCGCTCCCGATTGGATGATCGCTAAAACACCCGCTACTGATTGATTGAACGTACTACTTTGACATTCAGTTCGTTTCTTAATTTTAAGCAAATCAACTTCATCTTTTCGAGGTTTCTCGAAATTCACGTCGCATTCACTAAAAAAAAGGAATAAAGATTGAGAGTTCGACTTGCAATGTGCCCGGCGTAGCGGGATTGCTGTGGTTCAAAACATGTCAAAGGCTCTTACTCACACAGCATCTTGCAGCTCAACAAGAAAGGTTACTGAACAGCAAACAATAAATGGGATAAACTAGTACGATTTTTTAAATATCAATGATACTAGAAAGTACAAGACACACACACTGAAAAAAAACAATACAAAAAACGATACAATACACGCACCGTTAGTTTTTTTTAATATGAAAGGCTTGTATCAGATTAACCTAAATTAAGAAATGACGCACGCTATTCCTAAAATGATTTGTTACCGGCCAACCCCAGAACTGGTGGATTAGCGTTTCCTAGGCGTTTTTACAAAAGCAACAAAGATCTTTGAAAAAAAAACTGAAAAAAAAACAATACAAAAAAAGTACAATACACCGTACCGTTAGTTTTTTTTAATATGAAAGGCTTGTATCAGATTAACCTAAATTAAGAAATGACGCACGCTATTCCTAAAATGATTTGTTACCGGCCAACCCCAGAACTGGTGGATAAGCGTTTTCTAGGCGTTTTTACAAAAGCAACAAAGATCTTTGTCCTAAACATGAATTTTTAACAGAAAAGAGTTTGAAGCAACTCTTTTGTGAAAGAACTTAAACTAAAAGAACCCGACTTTCACGTTTTCTTGGGTACTAAAACAAATCGACCTCCAATCAATGCTCCCGACATCTTCAGACACAGTCAATAATCCATTTTTCTTGGTTTTTCTCAGAAATGGTACATTTCTTACTAATAAATATCTTGTTGGCTCGGTTTGTTGGTTGAATTTAGCTCTGCTAGCACTATCTCGATTTTTGGGGCCTTTGTAGCCCATTTAATGGCCGATGTTATACCGTAATATACACAAAAGGAATGAGTTGGACAAAATTGATAAACAGCCATATTTGACAGTGAAGAAGAGGAGTCGTTATTTATGTTTTTTTGCTGAGTAACAAGTAAAAACTAGTATTCCTCTGACCTTAGATAGGTAAAAAGTACAGAAGGATTTCCATTTAGATTTACAATCAGAAATATGTTTAAGTATCCATGTAAGCTTTCTTAGATTCCCGAAAGTCTTGGTAATCTGTTATCGTTTCAGTTCGTTGAATTTGTTCACCCTTGTTACCCCAAAGCAACTTAAAAAATACTTTCATTTTTCTTTTATCGTAAACAATTTGAGATGCATCCAAAGCCTTAACTTTATCATGTGCCTAAGTAAAATTTTCATGGGGCAAAAAACTTTGGTTTGATCTCTTTAGCATCCAAGGAACTTCTGTTTTTTCAACTCTGTGTAGCCACAAGAAGTAAATTTTTCCGCATATTTTTTCTAAATTCTGGTTATTTTATCATGTTTAGTTTGTTTTTTAAAGTATTCGTAGTTTTTTTGTTCTCGGCGTCGCGTTACGTAATCGTTTATTGTTAGTTACGTAAATTCATTAGTTGTATTCGTTTGTTTTAGTTGTTTTCGTTTGTTTTAGTTGTTTTCGTTTGCTGACGGCCTCAACTGGCGGTACTCATTTAACACTGTGAACTTGGATGGAGAAATTGTGCCTTATTTCTCCCTCATAGCCAGTTCTGGGATACCTCAGCAGAAGGCAAGGGTATCAGCATGGCAACGCAAGAAAAAAACGAAGGAAAATACTGGTATTACGGGTTGGGGGGACATCTGACGTGAAAAATCAGATTCGTTCCCACAGTATTAGTAACCCAAGGGTCGCTCAATATCAATGTCAGAGGAACACACAAGCAAACCATTAAAAAGTGGTGCGTACAGAGATGAAGACGATGAAGATAATGATGATTATGAACCCTTGAAGGAGTCGGGTGGCGTTAAAGCATATCAGGATGTGCCCGTTTATGCATAACATCAAGAGGTGAGATCCAATTGAGTGGATTCTCCCATTGTCGACCACAAAAGCAAATAAATCTACATAACTGAGATGAGCTTCCCGAGGATCAACAGCTGAGAGAAGAAAGATAAATAGAAGGCTATCAAATATTGAAACAAAGCTTCCAGGCTATAAGGTGTAACAGCCATAAGATTTGTCCGCGGGGGCCGGGTCGCGAAAATTAGACGTCACGATGCACAATATTGTATGGAACAAGGGCACAGAAGTACTGCGAAAGATACAGAAGGAAGTTTTCTTGGAAACACTCATTACTCGGACTTTCAAAGTTGCAGCCTGAAGGATAAATAACTAGAGACAGGACTGTGACGATATGTCAATTGTCTAGATCAGCCAATCAACATTTAGTTCGACCATGTGCTCGAGTTGTTGTTGTCCGTTTTGACAATATGGCCGTGTAGCATTGCTTTGTTCCAGATTAAAGTTCCGTCGAGTTTACTGTTTATCAAGTAACGAGTCCTGATTTATACATGGTGTCAGGAGTGAACGGCTCAAGCAGCGACTGGTAAAGACGGTCTTCGTTTCAGTTAGGAGACGTGCAGCTCGATACGTTCAGGCGCCTTGTTCAGCGAAGACATGTAGTCAAAATGCCAGCCGACGTTGAAAATGCCACTCCGCCATCGACAAGCAGCACGAACATAACAAGTACATTCTCGTGTAACGTCTCCTTACCCCCGAAACTAGAGGTACGCTGTTTAAATCTCTCAAAAGAATGAAAACAGTGGCGACAGGTATGGGATGCCTATGAAGAAGTCACCGAATTACGAAAGAAAACAAGCCGCCTTCGCGTAGCAACGTTTATTACTTGTATTGGCAAGGAGGCTCTCAAAGTCCACAATGGCCTGCCGTTTCAAAGCGATGAAGAAAAAGCAGACATAAACAAAGTGCTGGAGTTAAGGGCAAATCATTGCATCGGGAAAACAAACTAACAAACCGCATGCAGGAACAGGCAGAATCAATAGACACTTACATCACTACACTCAGAGCGCTCGCCGAAACTTTCGACTTTGGAACTTTGAAAGATGACCTTATCCGCGATAGAATCGTATGTGGTGTCCGTGAAAATGGCATACGTAGAAAACTACTCCAAGAGTCCCGATTAACGCTGTCGAAATGTGTTGACATCTGTCGGGCGAATGAAGCTACCGCAGCACAGCTAAAGGCCTTGCGCCCAGCCAATTCACTGAACAAGAAGCAAACGCGGTCAACCAAAAAGAAGATTACAAGACGCCGAAGGCACCTAGACAAAATGGTAAAGGTCCAAAAGATCAGCTAAGCGCCGAATGCAAATACTGCGGTAAAAGGAACGAACGGAAAAGAGATAAGTGCCCTGCATTTGGAAAAACCTGCTCTTCGTGTGGAAAACCCAACCACTTTGCAGCAAAGTGTTTCAAGAATTCCCGCGAATTCAAGAAGTGTTCACAGAAGTCTAAACGCAAGAAAGTGAACCAGCTCGATGACATCTCAGATTCTTCTTCAGAAGGAGAGATCTTGTCTTTGTCTTTGGCTCACACCGCTAACGCCGTGGACATGTCAAAGCTCAAGAACAAAATTTTCGCTCACATGGATATAGGAAATGAGTTAGTAAAGATGCAAGTCGATTCAGGAGCTTCTTGCAATGTGCTTCCCTTCAAGTTTCTTCCAAGAGACACCGAAATTAAAAAGACCAAGTGGAAGCTAAGCACGTACTCTAAAACGAATTTGAAGGTGCTGGGAGTGGCGAAACTATCCCTGCGAAACCCAAAGAACAAGAAGAAGTATCGTGCTGAATTTGCGGTTATTGATGAAGATTAAACTCCCCTTCTTGGCTCTTCAGCAGCACAGCAAATGAGACTAATAACTGTCCAACAAGAGAACATCTTGCAAGTCAAGGATAGTTATCAGGAACTGGATACGGAGCGAATTTTTGCAACTTACCCCGATATCTTTCAAGGTCTTGGTTGTATGGAAGGAGTTCTTCGCCTAGAAGTTGATGAGAGCGCCTCACCTCCAATCATGCCCTCTCGTCGTGTCCCTCTCACCCTGAGAAAACTGCTGAAAGAGGAGCTAGCCCACCTAGAAAGAGCCAATGTGATAACGAGAGAAGAAGAACCAACAGACTGGGTGTCTTGCCTTGTTGTAACAGAAAAACCGAACGGCAAATTAAGAGTGTGCATCGACCCCCAACATCTTAACAAAGCCCTTCAGAGAAGTCACTATCCGCTGCCAGTAATCGAGGACATACTCCCAGAATTAGCCGATGTCAAAGTATTCTCAAAAGCATACCTCAAAGATGGATTTCTACAGATACAGCTAGACCAGGAATCCGGCAAGCTAGCAACGTTCCAGACCCCCTGGGGCCGGTACAGATAACTGCGGATGCCCTTCGGAATCTCTCCTGCTCCAGAATGTTTTCAGCGGAAGTTGGATCAAAATCATGAAGGTCTCAAAGGAATCTACAAGGTAGCAGATGACATCTTAATCACAGGTCGTGGTACAACCAAGGATGAAGCCGTAAAAAATCATGATGCCAATTTACTGAAGCTGTTAGAGAGACGCCAAGAGAGGAATTTGAAGCTAAACCGAGAGAAAATACAACTGAAGTGTACAGACGTGCTGACACCTGAAGGAATAAAGCCTGACTCTAGAAAGGTAGAAGCTGTACTAAAGATGGAAAGACCCAGTGATCTGGCAGCAGTCAAAAGTTTGTCAAAGTTTCTAAGCAAACTTCCGGAGCTGTGTGAACCACTAAGACGACTCACCCACAAGGGCGTCGAGTGGAGCTGGTCAACAGAGCAAGAGAAAGCCTTTGGAAGCGTGAAGCAAGCTGTTACTTCAGCTCCAATTCTGCGATATTTCAACTCCAGTGAACCTTTTGAAGGCCAGGGAGATGCTTCTGCCAATGGTATAGGATTTGTTCTTATGCAGAATGGCCAACCAGTATCCTATTCAAGTAGAGCCCTCACCACAAGTGAAAGGAACTATTCCCAAATTGGAAAAGAACTGTTGGCCCAAGTCTTTGGCGTTGAGCGTCATCATCAGTATGTTGATGGTCGGAAAGTCATGCTGTGGTCAGACCATAAGCCCTTGGAAACTATCTGTAAGAAACCCTTAGCAACAGCCCCTAAACGTCTGCAAAGGTTGCTTCTACGATTACAGCAATGTGATGTTGAGGTCCGTTACAAACCTGGTCCTGACATATATCTGGCAGACACTTTGTCCCGTGCCTACCTACCAACAACTGCCCGCTCTCCAAGAAGAGACGGAACGAATTCGTGCAGTTGAATTCTTGCCCATTTCAGAACCACAATTGGCTGAGATCCAGCGTGAAACCGCAGCAGACTCAGTATTACAGTGCCTTACTCAAGTAATATTAAATGGTTAAGAATATATGAAAGTCATATATTTGAACTGCGGATAAAGACGTGAATGAAAGTGATCCTCGCAGTAATGTGCACTACTTAGGCAGTAGTGAAAATAAGGCCTGAAAAAAAAACGGCTGCGGATAAAGACGTGAATGAATGTGAATAAAACGTGAATGAAAGTGATCACTTTCATTCACGTCTTTATCCGCAGTTCAAATATATGACTTTCATATATTCTTAACCATTTATTCATCACTTCACGGGTTTATTTGGAACCAACTTCATGACCATCTCCCAGTTGGCTTGTTAGCTCAGTTGGTAGAGCGCTGCACCGGTATCGCAGAGGTCATGGGTTCAAATCCCGTACAGACCTGAATTTTTTTCAGGCCTTATTTTCACTACTGCCTAAGTAGTGCACATTACTGCGAGGATCACTTTCATTCACGTCAAGTAATATTGCAAGGCTGGTCAGATCAGAAAGAAGTCCTACCCTCAAAATTACATCCCTACCTCATTGTAAGAGATGAGCTTACTGCACAGGATGGAATCCTCTTCAAAGGTTTACGATGTGTAATACCTCTTACCTTGAGGCCCAAAATACGCGAACAACTTCATGGTGCCCACACAGGAGTTAAAGGCTGCCTGCGACGTGCGCGTGAAACAGTCTACAGGCCTGGCATGAATGCTGACCTTCATGATGTGTGTGCTACGTACCAGAAAGATCAGCAGAAGGAACCACTTATCGGTCCGTGTTGGAAAAACTGTGCCCGAGGTCTTGAGTACCGCACTCAAGACAGAGGGCACAGTTTTTTCCAATACGGACAGACCTATACCCCATTCACACCAGCAAAACATGTTTTGTTAAACTGGTTTTCATTGAATGAAAATTATAAACAGAGAACTGAAAAACTTGATTTTCCATTGGATTCAAGTACTTGCTAACTTGCATTTCCAATGTGCTACATTCAAGTCAAAAATATTCGGTTAAATAGTTTCTATGAAGAAAAAAAAAATTAAACCGTGTTTAACAAAACAACTTTTAAACATGTTTAAGCTTTGGTGTGAATGGGGCACTAGGCTGGTGAATAACATTTTAATTTTTTCCAATAAACTTAACGAAATTCTTTCCAAAAGAACCCAATGATTTACGGCTGTAATTAAGGCAAGATCCTCCATAAACTGAACAGTTTTTGAGCGAGTAAATGGTAGTTAAATTGGAGGTAATGCAAATTAAAGAAAGATGCCTCACATTTTCATTTGCGTAATGATAAAGATGATTTAAAAGGCTTCCAATACAATTTGAAATATAATTTTTACAGGTATCTGTTACAATCTGAGACCTGTCAGTTAGAGAACGCGTACGAAAAAAAAGCGCAAGTACACTTTTGAAAAAACAACGGGACTAGTTTGGCAAGGACTTTCACTACAATGTTTTCTTCAAAGGTGCACCGCGCCAGGAGGATCAATAAAGATTCGCAGTCCAAATCTCACAGCAAACACGAACGTCGCGAGTTAAAAAGAAAATGCGAGGATGGACAACTTCTGATGTAAAAAAGATAGAAAATTTAATAAGAACGTTTCGGTCAGAGACCTCTTCCAGTTACTAATAAATGAAGAAGGTGTATGTTTTGGTAACTTCAAGTCTCTTTCGGATATCTTGCGTAAATAACATGATCACATCGTCCTGAGTAGTTCAAACGCTTTTATGCAGAATCTACAACACTCTGTCAGAATCTTGCGGTCAACCGTATCAAAAACAATTTTTTACAAATTTTTAAACATTTCAAAGGTTTCGAAATTTCCCTACTCCGTGGAAAGTACTTTTTAATTGCATTTCAACTCAAATTTTCAATGATAAGATAGATATCCGACTCGTTTAGCATATTTTGGGCATTCACTCACTTTCCACAACTAAATATTTTGGGAGCAATTCACAGCCCAAAAAAATTTAGTAAGATTGTATGTTTTGTGATAGACAAGAGCTCCCTTCGAAACCTTTCAACATTTTAAAACTTAACTTTGCTGCTCTAAAGTCAAATTCTCACCTAACTTGTAGCGATTGAGGTTTAAAACAGTTTATATGAAAACAACATTATTTTTCCTAATTGTGGCACACAAAAAAACTTAAAGAAAAAATTTTTTGGGGGAAATTTTGGAAGTTTGAAGGGAAGAGACTTTGCCGGGTGACATAAGTGCCCTATTGTACTAATTTTGAATGATAACAAATTCATGATTACCTAAAGCCCTTGAATAAACGTTATGTGTCTGAGTTATTTATTGACAAAAAAGCTTTTATTCCACAGCACTTGAGTTACCAAATGTTTTTTCCGTTGGCGAGAAGGAGTGATGGATATTTGCAACGAGAATTAGGGCACTTTTGTAACGATCAACGTATGCCACATAAACTGTTGATAACTCTGCTGGTGGCTTTCCAACGAATAAAACAATTCATGTTATTTGTGTTTCTATAAAAAAAAACCCGTTTAACTCATGTGAATCATTGTTCTTTTATTTGATGACAGTCTTCATAGGGGTATGCCCAAGTGGGGTGGGTGGGGGTGGTTGACATGACGGTCAGTTTATCAGTTGTACTAAAATGCGTAATAAGAGGTTACGCTTGATTCGCAACCGCTATTTTCCGATCGGACTGAAAAGCAGCACAAATTGAGTTCAATACTCTGTGAAAAGCCAACGGATTGGTACAAGACGACAGTTTCCTCAAAAGTATGCTGATTAATGTTGTCTGGTATTTATCTGCTGTCGAAATGTCATTCAGCTGCCTATATATATTTATAACGTATTTGCATGGTATTGTCAACAATACTACAACCGGCCTACTGGCCGGCTTTTGGTCAGTGCTCCATTCCCGGGGAAGAATTCCATGTGAACTCTATGAAAGAGGTGGAGCCTAGAAACTCGTGGGTAAGTATCAGAATAAAATTCCTAAAACAGCCCAATCTGGGCAGTTTCACCCCTTAAATAAGTCATTATAGCAGGAAGGAGCAAAAAGGAAAGCAAGCGCGAAAAATATAGAATGAGGCCGGAGGGGTAGAAACTGGAACAGAAACTGGAATCATGTTTAGGTTAATAGGTAGTCCAGAAACAAAAAGAATTGTTGAAAAAACCCTTCAATTGGCATAGTATATTTTAATGAATAGTTTTTTAGATGCTTAAGGTTAAGGTTGACGTTTTCAAGTTAAATTTTGTCAGTGTCGCTTTTCGTTTTCTTGTTATGGCTAAGTAGTCCAGGAATGGGACGAATTGTTCAAGAGCCTTTTAGCTAGTTAAGGTTAACATTTGCAGTTTAAATGTTCAAAAAGTCTCTTTTCATTTTCTTGTGAAGGTTACTTAGTCAAGGAACGGAAGGATTTGTTCAAGAGCCTTTCAAAGAACAGAAGATATTTTAAAGAATGATTTTTCGTCAGTGTTGTAAACACGGACGTAATGTTACCTACATTAAAACAAAAATAAAGGATATTTCAGTGCACAGCAGAGGTGAGCCCATGTTGACGAAGTAAGCTTATGAGAATCAGTTCACCGAAGAAGAATTAAGGTATCCTCTGTCCGTGTTAAAGGTGTCCATAGTACGTGGGTTAAATGTAAAGACAATATGAGGACATTTCCCCGGGACAACAAAACCTGTCCCTTATAACGAGGGGGCGTCCGTGAAGAGGGGTGCGATGGTACAACTGTGATATTTTTTTCGGAACCCGTCTAATTATAGGACAAAAATGCGTACAATTAATAATTAATTTAAACTGGTTCCATAACCGGCTTGGGATCGGTCTGGAAATTGTCTTTGCCATAGATAAAACGCTGGCGACCATTGAGCTTCCGGCGCTCCTTCGTTTGAATGAGACTCGGATTAAAAAGTCGCATTTTTCTGTGACATATCACAAAACAAGAATTGAGTCAGAACTGTTTTGTGGTTGCATCCCACTGCTAACATTAATAGAGAGGTATCCCTGATGTCACCTATTGATGTTAACGTGCTAACCAGATGCTTGT